ATCAGCACGATAATGAAGCTGTTGTAATTACTCGTTTTGTTATATGACTGTATTTCCAGTGTGTTTCTATTGTCTGTAAGTAAAGTATCCATTACTGCTAAATGTGTTCAGTGTTATTGTATAACGTGACCTCAGAGCGTCTCTCGCATGATGCTGGTACCAATACTGTGATGCTTTAATTCCAAAGATACAATCGGTAACACTCTGTGAGTCAGTACATGTAGATAAATCCTGACCTCTTGCTGTTCAGACATCGGGGTGAATCTGACAGATCCCATGTTCAGAGGACTCTACAGAGGGAAGCAGAAACATGACGGTGAGCTACTGCTTCACTCTTATTTTCACTGTGGGGCTGTTCACATGATGTTTTTCTGAGTCTCACGTTTTCCTGACAGATGACTTCAATGAGATCATTGACCGAGCTCTCAAAGTAGGAGTTGAAAAGGTATGCTGTGTCCATCACTTTGATGAAGCCTCATGTATTTTAATCATAGCCATGAGATCGCTGCAGTGTTGATTTGTTTTAAAAAGGTCATCGTGAAATTCTGGGATGATAGAGATTTTTACAGCAACAGTTTGGCTAATAGCTGTTGGAGATGTTTATGAGTGTTAATATCCTGGACAAAACCCTCATTTATTTCACTCCCTGAAATGGACTGGGCGATGAGGGAAAGAAGAGAAGAACAAGAACAAAAAAAAGCCTCACCTACATTTTAAGTACACTCAACTCAACATATAAGTCGGTATACTCTATCATGCTGAGCCTCATTATATATGCTAAAGAATTGTGGTGCAAGTAGTCAGGATGCCGATGCAGATATAAAACATAATATAAACTCATAGTTACTCTTTTTTGTGTATGTTGGAAATGTGTAATTTGAAAGTTATTTGTTCTCAGTTGTAATGATTGCGTGTTTTATCTGTTGCTTCACTGCAGTTTATGATCACAGGGGGGAGCCTTGACGACAGCAGGGAAGCTCTTAAACTAGCTGAGACCAGAGGTAATAATGACAGCACGTTTAGTGCAACCAAATGATTTGTGGTCTTAAAGAATCAGCCAAACCTACCTAATGTTTCCCTCCGTGCTGGAGCGTCTCACCTTTAACAAGCCCCCTCCTTCATCACAGATGAGTTCTACTGCACGGTCGGCTGCCATCCCACCCGGTGCGGCGAGTTCGAGCAGAATGGAGAATCCCAGTATTTAACTGGGCTGAGGGAGCTGGCAGCAGCACACAGAGGAAAGGTGGTGGCCAT